TGGACTTCGCAGTCACACCAGTTGCCAGCGGTCCGCGCTGCCCTCGGTGAGCTGCGTCACCATGCTCACGAAGAGCTAGCGCAGCGGCCCTGCCACGGCCGCGACGCTCTGGTCTCGGCACTGCGCTCTTTCCCCAAGGCCACGGGCAAGGGCTCCGACCAGTGAAAGCCGATCCACCTCTTGGCGCTGTCGGACCAGGGGCAGGAGGCTTTCGCCACGCTCCTGAATATGATCGAGCGCAGTCTGGCTTGGCCGCACCAACTCCTGCACAACTGGTTCGCCCTCCTGCCGAAAAGTACCAGGCAAGAGATCGGGAACGAGCGCGACATCCGTCTGCTGTCCATGCCTGTTCGCATCCGGGTCCGCATGACGAAGACCACTATGACAGAGCGGTGTGACGCGAGAGCGTCGCACTGGAGCGCCGCGGTCAAGGGCAGCAATGCGCGCCAGGCGGCCCTGCTCACCATGGTGCTGGACGAGTCCAGGGCGTACTTGGGCATCAACGAGCAGAGCAACTTCCTGGTCGATGTCGAGAAATTCTACGACTTCATGGATCTAGAGCTGATGATCCGCCAGGTCAGGGACTTAGACTTCCGGAAGGTGGAGCTCTACCTGTGCTGCCTCGCCTACCTGGCGCCCAAGGTGGTCAAGGCCTATGGTGCCTCGTCGAGGCCATCATCCCCAATTGCTCCATCGTGCCTGGATGCGGAAAGGCCAATCATTGCGCGCGCGTTATCCTTCACCGCCTCCTGGAGCAAGCCCGCGCGAAGGCCCCTATGGCACGCATCCGCCAATATGTTGACGATGTCCACGCGAGGGTAGAGGGCCCCAGCTTCTTGGTGCTGGAAAAGACCAATCAGATGACAGGTGCTTTGGTGACGGAAATGCTGGACATGTGATTGCGATTGTCGCCAAAGTCCCTCTTGATGATGACGAACCCTGAACATGAGGCGGTTGTCCAGCAGCACGTTCTAGACACCACGGGTATCCAGATCAAGAGAACGAAGTGGGCAAAGGACCTCGGAGTGGGCTGCGCCATGGGCATGATGAGGACCACCAAGACGACGAAGAATCGCATGACGGTGGCTCAAGGGCGAGCAGTTCGAACTACCCTTTTTCCGACGTATTGGACGGGGTGGCAAGCGTGCGAAAGAGGATCGTGCTGTACAACTCCAACATTCGGGGTAAGTTCTGCTACGCCGACCCAATCCTGGGCACTTCCTCATCAGAAGTTGTTCGACGGCGGGCTCAGGCAGCAGACCTTGCCGGCCACGCGACAGGAGGGAGGTGCACGGCGTCGATCATGTTGTTGCACTACCAGGACGACGATCCCAACATGAGCACGGTGACGGATCATGTGAAGCACTGGTTCCAGTACTGATCCAGTCACCCTGAGATTCACGAGCGTGTACGAGAGGATGGCGAGCCGTACTCAGAAGGCTCAACTACTTGAAGGCGAGATCCCGATGGGGATGGGCGACTGGGCCCATGGGGGTTTTGACATTGACGCGCAGAGACCTCGGATGGGTACCGCGCGCTCCAGATCGTTCAGTAGATGACAAGGGTGATGGATGGCAACACACTGGAGATCCTACAGAGAGTTACACGGAAGTTCTGCATGCCCTACGGACCTCAGTTCGACGCGGGTTGCGGAAGCAAGCTGGTGAACACCCGACTGGCGCAGGTCTGGGCGACGGCGGCGACAGCACATGCTGGGGACGAACTTGAGGAGACTCCGACGACGGGGTCGACTACCAGAAGCTGGCGCTCTGGAGGCCAACGCATTGGCTTGTCTATGGTCGAGGGCTCGCGCCAAGGCATCTGGATATCATATTGATGATGATGAGTGCCCTCGGTGCGAGGTGGGGAAGGACACCATAGCCCACCGCTTGTACGAGTGCGCCCAAAACGCCCTGATCGAGCACGAGTGGGTAGCCCGCGCGGACAGGTTACGTGAGGCAGCGCAAAAAGATTTGTCAGAAGGCAGGAATGTCGTTGTTTGGACCAGGGGGGTAGTCACACAGGAGTGGAACCCCGTGCCCCCGCCTCCTGAATGAACTCTGGTGCTGGCCTTGATGTCTGGGCTGTGGGTCTCCCTCCGCCTGACCTTGACTCCTCCTCCGACCTCCTCCCTTCCGAGGTCTACCCCCTCAAGGTCCGAATAAGCTTCCTAAACGGCTCAGCCACGTCCAGCGATGCCCGTGTCAGTCAGGTCGGATGCGGGGGTTACGTTCGCGGTGCGGGTGAGACGGAGCTGGACGTGGACCAAGGGGCTCTCCGAGGGCTGTATGTGACCATCGACGGGGACCAGACTGTGCCAGCCAGAGAGTTGGCGGCTCTGCTTTAAGCGCTTAGGGCCACCACGGGGCCCATTCTCCTGTGGACGGACTGCCAACTGGTCTTCGAGGATTGGGCCCTGGGCTTCGGGAAGGGCCCCCCAGGGGCCTTTAGCGCGCTGGTGGGACCGAATCCGCCGAGCCCTTGAAACCGGGGGGGAGGCCAGAGTTCAGGTCCAAGCAATGTTTTTTGTTTCTCACTTGGATGTTGATTCCCACTTGGGGACGGGACAGCCTGTACATGTATGTGTATATATATATTATATAAATAAATATATATATATATCGAGGTATATTACCTCGATACATATATATATATATATATGTATATTACTCTATATATGGGTATTTTATATATATTATATAACCTCGACATATATATGTATATATATATCTATCGAGGTGAAGAGATGGCGGACGCGCTGGCCCAGCGAGGAGCGGCGGCCGCCTCCGACCCCATCCGTGGGCTTAACTCAAAGCCTTGCACATTGCAGGCGCTAGAGCCACTTTAGTGCTTCGGGGCGATGTTGGCCCAGACCCGTAGTGAATGGGACCGTTCGGACCGCGGGGAGTTCGGGTCTTCGCCTGGGTCGAACCCAGGACTCACGAGAGTCAAAGAGCCGGGGGCCCGATCGGGCCACAGGTTGCGTCGTTTGCGAAATGGCCAATGGTCCTGCACGAAGTGCCGTCTGACCCCAGGGCGTTTTTCCCTCGTAGATTGGTTGCAGGCTGGCCAGTGCCGCGGGGATGAGACTTCTAGGGACCTCAGCGAGCTTGGCCACCACGTGCACGTCCCCCCCACCTTGGTACGGGCCCTCCGCGTCGGCGACAAATCGATACACCCCTCGCACTCTATCGCCATGCAGCACGGCTTGGCGTAGTGTTGGAGATGCGCCCGATATGCGACCGTCGTGGGGGGCAGAGGTAGGATGTGTAAACTAGCCGACGAGTGCCCCAGTGTCTGCACGCCGTCGGGTAGAACGATGTTGAGATGTCTCCGTAACGGCATCAACCCGAAAGCGGGGATGAAGTGGCCCATTCCCCCCGCTGGGGGGCCACCGGACATCCTTTGCTGTTGTCGGTGTTTGCACCAAGGACTTTGGGAGGAGGATGGACGGGAAGGTAGGCCTCCGCTCGCAGATGACCCACCACGTCGGCACCTCTAAATTACGAGTAATTTCACCCGGGAGGGCGCAACAACGCTTCGACCTTCTCTGAAGCAGCAATCTCCAGCAATATTCTCCTCCTCCTCCTCCTCGTCCAGCTCCTCCTCCTCATCCCCCTCCTCCTCCCCCTCTCCTCCTCCCACCCCCTCATCAATTTCTCGTCTTCATACATACCTCCTCCCTGTCGCACCCCGAGGTTGGTCGAAAGGGTGGGCCCGGTTTTCGACTGAGACTTCAACTCCTCGGCTCGTTTTCAAAATGTGGCTCTCGCCTTAGCACCGCGCACATTCGTTCTAACATGTTCAAGTTGCAGGAGCTTCACGGATCGAGGGCGGGTCGTTCTCAAAATGTGGCTCTCGCATTAACGCCGCGCACCTTCGAATTCAAAATGGCAAGACCTTCGCGGATTGAGGACGGCTCGTTTTCAAAATGTGGCTCTCGCCCTCGCGCCGCACACTCGTCTGACACATTTACAAAGGTTTCACGGATTCCCATGGACAACGTGCCAGAAGTGGCGTTGTGGAAGGACTCAAGATTGTGAGGGCGTAACAGTAATTAGCGGCGTCCATGTCTCAACATTGGTGTTCTGGCACGGTCCCGGCTGGTAAACACGAATGTGTCATATTGATCCGTGGCGTTGGAGTCCCGATAATTGTGTTTTGGAACGCACCGGGTCTTCAAACGGTTGTCTCCCAACGAAGCAGTTCCCCCAGTGGAAATTACCTCTTGTAGGCCTGTGAACAAAAAGGAGACTTGGACCCTGAGAAACGCTTTTTGTTCTCACATTGTTGATGTGTCTTTGGCTTGAACTGGTCCTCCTCATCCTCCTCCTCCTTGTCCTCTTCCTCCTCCTCCCCCTCCTCCTCTTCCTCCTCCTTCTCATCCTCCGCCTCCTCCTCCTCCTCTTCCTCCTCCTCCTCCTCCTCCTCCTTCTCCTCCTTCTCTTCCTCCGCCCCCTCCCCCTCCCCCTCCCCTTCCCCCTCCCCCTCCCCCCCCCTCCCCCTCCATCTCCTCCTCCTCCTCCTCCTTCTCTCCTCCCCCCTCCCTCCTCCTCCTCCTCCCCCTCGTCATCCTCCTCCTCCTTCTCCTCCCCCTCGTCATCCTCCTCCTCCTTCTCCTCCTTATCTTTCTCATCCTCCTCTTCTCTCTCTTCCTCCTCCTCCTCCTCCTCCTCTCCTCCTCCTCCTCCTCCTCCCCTCCTCCTCCTCCTCCTCCTCCTCCTCCTCCTCCTTCCTCCCTCCTCGTCCTCCTTCTCCTCCTCCTCCTCCTCCTCTTCCTCGTCCTCCTCCTCCTCCTCCTCTCTCCTCCTCCTCCTCCTCCTCCTCCTCCTCCCCTCCTCCTCCTCCCCCTCCCCTCCTCCTCCTCCTCCTCCTCCCCTCCTCCACCTCCACCTCCTCCTCCTCCTCCTCCTCCTCCTCCTCCTCCTCCTCCTCCTCCTCCTCCTCCTCCTCCTCCTCCTCCTCCTCCTCCCCCTCCTACTCCCCGTGCGCTCGCCGTCCTGCGTTGGCGTGCGCGCCGGCCGCCAGCAGCGCCTTGGGCGGCAGAGGGGGAGAGGGCGGCTGACCGAGCGGCGCCGCGGGAGGCGCCCCTCCGAATTCCAGGAGGGAGGAGAGAGGGAGAGAGGGAGGGAGGAAGGGATGGAGGGAGGGAGGGAGAGAGGGAGAGACAGAGAGAGGGAGAGGAGGGAGGGAGGGAGGATGGAGATGGGCAGGGAGGGCAGAGCAGAACTCGTGAGAGCCGACAGCGGCAGTGGCCGTGCAGCCGAGAGGCCCAGCAATGAGAGAGAACCGATCGGATGTGGAGGCACACCGCAGTAGGCCATGAGCGCGCAAGCCCTGCAGGTAGGGGAGGCCCTCTGGCCCGGGGAACGGCCGACGGGCCCAGCGGGAGGCACCTCGCCTCGCCAGAACGAGGCTGGGGAAACCAAAAGGTGCCGATACCGCTACTCTCTGAATCTCTCCCGGGGCGTGTTCTGACTAGAACTTCGAGGCGAATCCAGCGATGGCGACGAGGGCCTCCGAGGAGACCCCAAAAAGGGGATAACGAGGGAAAGGTAGCGGTATGGGTACCGCTTCCTCCTCTGAGAGACGAGGAGGGGGGAGAAGGAGGAGGGAGGCGGGACGGCGCCGACGACCGACAAAGGTTCGATCCAGTTCGGCATGCTAACACGGAGGGTGACTACGCGGGGAAGAAGTCAGGGTCTTCGCCAACGTCCATCCCTCCCCGCGCGCCGCTCCTCCCTCGCCTGTCCCAGGGCCTCCGCATCGGCCTTCGTCAGGCCGAAGAGCGCCAGAGGCCGAGAGAGGAGGGAGGACAGAGAGAGGAGGAAGAAAAGCTGATGGTAAGACGAAAGAAGAATCGAGACACCATCGGACCGATGCAAATCGGAAATCTTTGAGATGGATCGGGTGCCGCGGCCGTTTCAGAGCGAATGCTCTGAGAGCCTTCTGGAACGCTCTGGAAGGGCTTCATCTCGCTTCTGGGCCCGTCCGAGATGAGCTCTCCTGGGGCCGTCTTGCGATCGGCGCGGCGTCAAGTCAAGTGCAGGTGGTCCTGTGAGCATGTTCGAGGGTTGTTGGGGCGCTTTCGGGACCCTCGTGCGTGCCTTTGGGCCCGTCTTGGGCCCTTCCTGGGCCCCTGATTGGGCGCCTCTGGGGCAACCATGGGGCTGTATTGAAGCCTTGACAGCCTGTCGGAACCCAGACAGCGATCAGGCCGAAATCCCCCCCACGCGTACACACAAGTTAATCAGAGATAAGGTTCTGTCTCTCGGAGCCCATCCTTTGGGAGGCCCCGCGGCCGTCTCGGGGCGTCTGGAATACTTCTGGATTGCATCGTCGGGCAGCCGCTGCACGCTGAGAATGCATCGACAGTGCGCATCAGAAGAGAATGTGTCATGATCCTGACAATGGTGTGTGCACATCGCCACAACTTTGTCTTACCTCCCCGTTCTTGGCATGCAGACATTTCGTTGGTGAATGCACGAATGGTTCTGCGCTGGAGCCGTTCTACAAAGATCCGTTCAACTGAATATTGGAACCCAAGATACGGGCAAGAGTCGCCGTGGCAACAGGCCTCTGGGTTCGAGCAAATGCGCTCAGAGAATGACCAACGTATCGCCAATGCATCGGCGATGCATCCGCAATGCTTCGGCGACGTCGGCGGTGTGCCAGCGACGTCGGCGTGGAGAATAAATCGGGCTCCACTTTGACCCGCATCGGCGACGCATCGGCGATGCGGCGCGATCCTCCGACCCCATCTACTCCGACCCCATCTGGGAGGCCTAGAAATCTGGGTGCTGCCAGCACATGCTTGTCACTTCTCCGATAACGCCCGCGACCAGCGCCGCCCCCCCCCCTTCCCACCCCATGGTCACTTGACGATTCACGCCGCCGCCGTCTGGGAACTAGCCCTTCCTGGGCATTCCCACACGGCGCCGGCGCGAATCGCGACGTGACGACGTGATCGGCCCCCTCCCCCCCTCCTGCCCCCCCCCTAATTATCGCGCTCCTCGTCGCCAGGGGATGAGGAACGCTCACCACTGCCGGAGGCGGCCGCGGGGCCTGACCTGGTTGGGACACCAGAGCCCTGGTCAGGAGGGGGGGGGATGCGGATATGTCGACCCCTATCCCAGGCTTCGTGGGGTTTTCGAATGGACCAAACATTTGGGGCCCAACCCTGGGATATACGAGGGGGGGCGTCCATCCTCGACAGGGGTGCGTCCGAATAGCCCCCTCGGGATGTATCCCAAGATTCCTCCCCTTTTCTGAGCGACCAAACTTTTCTGGCGGAAGTCGGGGATTGGGGGAGAGAATCGCCTGCGAAAATCTGCTCCAAACCGGACCCCGGACCTCTCCCGGGGTCCATCCGGTGCAGCTGTTCCCCCTGGATCCGTCCGTGGCGGTCCCATGGGCCCGAAAGCGGCCCCAGGGGGCGGAGAGAGGCAAGCCACCTCCTCGAGCCCAGCACCTCGGACCTCGCCCCTCCCTTCCTGCTGGCCGTGGCCAGCGCTGGGCCACCTCCGCCCCCCAGCGGCTAAAATCTGGGAGGCGTGATGTCGGTGTGCTGTGCTGGGGCGATCCTTCCTTTCACAGGTTGGCGGCGCCGGGCGTCAGGCCGTCGCCATCAAAACTGCTCACCATTGCTGGACAAACTTGGAGAAACCAAAAGGTACGGATACCGCTACGGCAGGACCTGGGACAGAAAAGCATATTTCAAGAACATAAGACCCTCCACGATTCAAACTGACGAACAGTTGAGGGCACCCCCCCAGGATGCACAAGAGTATCCAACAAACATAAAGAACATGAGGGCACCCTCATCCGAACCGACCACGATCTTATACCTCGGTCCGACCGTAGTCCCTTTACCTCTCCCGGGACCTCTCCAGGGGCGCGTTCTGACCAGGAATTCGAAGCGAATCCAGCGGTGTCGACGAGGGCCTCCCAGGCGGCCCCCCAAAAGGGCAAAACGAGGGAAGGGCAGCGGCATGGGTACCTTTGGTCGCACCTCTCCCTTCTCGGCGACACTTCCTTTCTCAGGGGTGCCGCGCCACGCCGTCTGAGCCCCCGGGGTCCAAGACCGCGCCCCCGCCGAACGCCACGGGCGTGCTGCCATTCACGCCCGCGGGTTCCCGGGCGCCGCGGCCGCCCGAGGCCTCCAGGACGTGCTCCTGGCTCGGGGATCGAGGCCCCCTTTAGCAGAAAGCCCTCCTCCTCCTCCTCCTCCTCCTCCCTCCTCCTCCTCCTCCTCCTCCTCCTCCTCCCCCTCCCCCCCTCCTCCTCCTCCTCCTCCTCCTCCTCCTCCTCCTCCTCCTCCTCCTCCTCCTCCTCCTCCTCTCTCCTCCTCCTCCTCCTCCTCCTCCTCCTCCTCCTCCTCCTCCTCCTCCTCCTCCTCCCCCTCCTCCTCATCCTCATCCTCCTCCCTCCTCCTCCCCCCCCCTCCGCCTCCGCCTCCCCCTCCCCCTCCTCCCCCTCCTCTGAGCCTCTTCCTCCTCTCCTCCTCCTCCTCCTCCTCCTCCTCCTCCTCCTCCTCCTCCTCCTCCTCCTCCCTCCCCTCCCCTCTTCCTCCTCCTCCTCCTCCTCCTCCTCCTCCTCCTCCTCCTCCTCCTCCTCCTCCTCCTCCTCCTGCGCATGCAGTAGGCGCTCATGAGATCCCCACGAGCCCCGACGGAGGGAGGCCTCCGTAGAACAAAACCTCGGGAGAGCACCCATCAGGACGACCTTTTTGTCACCCTCGACTGGGGGCGCCATCCAGCCGAGGGGCCAGCGACAGGGTGCTCTCCCCGAGGGGGAGGGCGGCCTGGGTCTGGGCCCTGACCGCTTCTCTCCAGACTGGCAGGGTTCCAAGCCTCGGTGAGGAGGATCCACTCCTTTCCTTGCTTGTACTTGCCCTGCTCAAGGCCTCGCAAGACGCGGCTGCCCCAGACAGAGGGCACTGGCGGGCACGGATCACGAAACTGCTTGGACACAGTGACTCCGCCAGCACCGCACAGGGCGCACACCACCCCCCGCCTCCCCCCCGCGAGAGTGAAGGGAAAGGCTCGATGGGTGGCGTGACCCTCTCTCCTCAGGACCGCGATCGCAACGTCGGCACGACTTTCAACCGACGAGACCACGGGAGGAGGAATTACATGCAACCTGGGCACATCAGTCCTGAGAGCCCTGGCACGCTTGGACACGGGAACATGCAAACAGTCCAAATCGGCCATGGGGGGCCCACACACGCCAACCCATCGGGTCAGGGCCTGCACAACCTTAAACTGATTTTTTGAACAGGTCGCGATACTGCTGAGCGACTCTGCCGTACTCGGCGGCCTGCTTGGCATACTGGTCAGCCTGCTCGTTGCCCAACTGAGCCCTGGCTGAGAGACGACCCGAGGTGACGTCGGCACGAGAAGCGTGCGCCTTGACTTGGTTAAGGCGCAGCGCGTCGAGACCACCTCTGTCTTCAACGGCATGCCAGACAAGCTTCCAGATGTCGGCCCACGCAGCTTTGGACGAGCAACAAAACTGCCGCCCTCGGTTCCAGACGCCTTGGGAAACAAAATTGGAGTCGGTCCAGAAGACGGCACCAGGAAGGGCCTGCCTAAGGCCCATGAAAAACGCCCAAAGCTCGCACGCATCGATGTCAAAGTGCCCAGCTGGGATACCACCAGCCACCACCGCGCGCTTCGCTCGAGTAATGGGGAGGCTCGGATCATCGTGCAAGGAAACGATGGCCCAACCTAGCGAGCGCGCGGTGGGCGGGAGCTCGGAATCAAAGAGACTCCCGTCGAGAAAACAATCTCCTCCTAGCTGATCGGGTGTTCCGAAGAGCCAGAGTTCTTCGGGG